GTACAGCGCTTCGTGGCCCCATAGGGAGCTTCACCGAAGGTCCCAGTGGCACCGCCCGCATGCGTCCGCCACCACCCCGCACAATTGCGGCATTCACAACTGCATATGGTTGGGTCCTTCGCCAGGCTATTTTTTTCTCCTGCGCGCCGATCAGTTGTAGTCGGTGGATAAAGCAGCGCAGAAGCGGGCTACGCACAAACTAAATTGACCACTTTGTGCATGTGGGAGCGAAGCTGGCACCCTGAGCCCCAGTGAAAGCCGAACAGAGCCGACCGCTGGGAAGAAACAGCCCAGCGCGTGCAAGGCAAATCAGAGGCGAGCGGCAAATGAGAATTGGAAACGCAGGCCAGGAAGGGAGAGGGGCGAAGGACGGCCACGCACTTTTCCTCATCCAGCGGCGAGGTGGCGGCACCGTCTCGAGCATTCAGGCGGGGCACGCACAGTCGAATTCCACCTGGCATAGCAGGTGGGTGGAGTCGAACAGGCAGTCGCGTGCAGAAGCGCACCGCTGCATTGTGCAAGGGGAGAACGGGCGAGTGCCGCGTGGCAGAGCAGGCGAGCAAGGCCCAGGAGGGGAGCACCGTGGTGCAGTGGAAGTATGTGCGGCCGCACCGAAGCGTGAGACAGGAAAAGCGAGCCAGACGAGGCGCCGTCGGCGGCGCGCCACACACACATGCATGTGTGAGTGCTTGCTCCTCCTATCAGCGGCCGATTCCAAACCACGGAACGAAGCATCGGTTCGCGACTGCACCGAAAATTGGCATCGTTGTGGCGAGGTGCAGCAGCCAAGTCGCGAAACGCACGTGGGCGGATCGGCTCGAAAACTGGACGATGCAGGAGGAGGGAGGCAGACGCCACAGACACACACACACACACACACTCACGCTCGCACGCTCGCACGACGCACGCACACATGCACAAACACACACACACACACACACACACACACCCACACACACACAGTTTTTGGCGATCGCGGCCTCGCTCGCAGCGACGAGGCCGAGCAAGTCGAGCAGACTGTGCAGAGCTAACGCGCGCGGGCGGGCCCTCGGACGCGGGACCGCATGGGGTCGACCGCACATGAGCACCCGGTCAGGGTGGGGAGCGAGAAAATTGAAGCAGCGTCCGAAGACGAAGACGGCAGCATTGACGAGTGACACCGATGGGGCGCGACGAGCGCGCCTGGGCTGAAGCCCGGCGAGGGCGACATGCCATACCCGCGGTGGAGGAGACGACGGAGGACGCGGAAGCACCACGGAAACACATTTGCACACGTTTTCTCGGCGAGCAATCGTTCGGCCACGCCCTGGTCACACTGGATGAGTTGCATACACACACATTCGCATACATACACTAGCACACACGCACATATACACACACTTACTGACACACCCGCACACGCACACATGCGCACACGTACACACCTCCAACCGCAGGCGTCGGGTAGCTTCGCCGGCGCTTCCGCCTTCACCGAGGTGGAGGTCACGGTGTTCGACGGCCGACAGGGGTGGGGCGCGCGCGCACGCGGACGCCAGGAAGCGGCGTGGTCCTCCATCTCTTTTCTTTGTGGCTCCTCCTCGCCCACCACCAGACATGCGGGTATGGCGGGCTGGGCGTTTTGCCTGGTATTTCCTCACAGGCTGTCATCTCGAAGCTCGAAAACTCCGAGCAGGTACACGGGTAGAAGGCGAGTGGTCTTCGGAACACGGTCGTCTCTGCACCACCTCGCACATGCTCAAGGGATGGAAAGCGGGTGGTTTTCGGAATGTGGCTTATATTTTAGTTTTGCACACATGTGTGTTCACGTTCCTTGCACCTACACGGAAGAAGGGTGGCGTGTTTAAAAACATATCGTTCTTGCCGCGGTACCGTGCACATTCGCTCGGAAGGAAAAAGTTACATGGATGGGGCACAGTCCACTCTCAGCATTAAATTTTCGTGTGATATGATTTCTCTGACGCTAGAGAGTCCTAAGCTCAAGCCATGTACAACAGCTACGCATATGGATAGAACTGTTGTCCCCGGCTTTGTCATTTGTCAGACATTCGTCAATTGTCTGTACCAATGAACTTTCGACTATGCGATTTACACACGGATGGAGGGCGAGGCCTTTCAAAACGGGGTAATCGTTGTACCCATCCTCTAATCTTATCATTTTCACACATGTTGACACATTTCATAGCTGGACGGATCGAGCTGGCTCGACTTCACTACGGGGCCCTCGCCTGAATTGTAGGGACGCGCGTCTTTCAAGAGGGTGTTCCCAATAGAGGAAAGAAGTGCTTGTATTGACTGGGTGAGGAGGGGATGTGGGATGCGAGGATGTATTGCAGCATTGTTGAAGCATCATGGTTTCACTCTGGACCCAATACCCCTCCTAGGCCTCAATCGCGCGTGCCCCTCCTAACTTGAGGTCTCTTGGGGGCCCTCTTGGGAGCGTCCAGGAGGTCCCGAAACGCTCCGAGTCGGGGAGTCCGTCGTTTTCTCCATTTACATTCCTCACTCCCTGCTTGAACTCACTTCCCATGAGAGGCCCGAGGGGATTATGGTCGCGGCGCATCTCGCCATCTCCTTCCATACTGCGAGCCTCAAGAGGCCCTTTGTTAGGGCGCCAGCTAACGGAGCCAGAAACCGTACATGTCAATGTGCACTCGAACCTTCGTCCATTGCAGCATTAGTTGCCCCTCATTGTGGCAAAACCTTTCTTCGTCCGGACCACATCATGGCCTTGGAAAATGTCGATATCGGGAGGGGAAGGGGGTGAAGAAGAAGAGAGAAAGAGAGAGAGAGAGACACAGAAAGGATAATGGAGGATCGATACACAAAACAACGTAAACCTAATTGTTCTGAGGTCCGCACGGATTTCTCGGGTCGGCGATAGGCCCTTTGGCGACGCCTCTGGCGCCGCCCTTGGCAAAGAAATCCGTCAGGAACTCAGAGCAATAACCTGTGTATGCCGTACTGTGCTCCTCCAGAGTAGGGCGGGGGAGGGGGCACAAGGGAGGGAGGAGAAGATAGGAGAGGGGATAGAGCTCGGAATAACATGGATTACCGACGCTTGGCGTAGCGACGGGCCCCGCTTCCGTACAGAATCGGCGCGCACCGTCGCCAAATCGGGCGGCATTTGCTTCACCTCTCGGGGGGTACCTTCCCCGATCCGTGGACCTGGCGCCCACGCGCCAGATCCACGGACCCCTACGGCCAGGAACTTTTGGACAGCGTGTCGCTCCGCCAGTTCTGGCCCACCACGCTTCCGCGCGACACGCTATCCATTTTCCAGTCCCCACGCGTCAGCGTCCCGAGCCTTTCCCGAGCCTCCCGCCCCGCGGAGCGGAGCGACACGCTATCCGCTCGCAGGGCACGAAAGCTCCTGACCGCAGCCTAGGCGGAAGGCGCGGAAGCAGATTCCCCAGTAGTCGGGGCGGATGCCCAGGAAGCGCGCTTCCTTGGAGCAGCCCAGGCCAGGGCTCGGGGGGGAGGGGGGAGAGGTCTGCCCAGGCGGGGGCCCGCGGCGTCGTGGCCCGATTTATCTGAAGACGGTTCGCTTGGAGCCGGCTTGACCTTCCCATGGTCAGTCGACTCTCCTTCGAGCACCGTGCAAAGGGGCCGAAACAGTAGCAACACATGATCAGTGTCAAACCTTGTTTTCTTGTTCCAGAGCCCGACCGTAAGACATGTTCTGCGTGTGCCCAATGAGCGTGCTACTCCCGCCCACCCCTTCTGCGGGGCTGCTTGAGCCGGGCCCGGGGGAACGTGGCGCGGTCCTCGGGGGCGGCCAGGCATTGGCGAGAGCCCCAAGACCATCACGTCGGACAAGCAGGATCTCGGGGATTCAGGCGCCGAGCCAGCGCCTCCAAGCGGAGGGTAGGAAGAGGAGGAGGAGGAGGAGGAGGAAGGAGGAGGAGGGGGGGGAGGAGGGGGAGGAGAAGGAGGGGGAAGTGGAACAAGTTCAGGCAAACAGTAAAACAAAAAGGACGAGGAGGAGGAAGGGGAGGAGGAGGAGGAGGAGGAGGAGGAGGAGGAGGAGGAGGAGGAGGAAGAGGAGGTTTTCGGGGCGTTCGAGGAAGAAACAGAAAGAGGCGCCAGCCGCTTGCAATTTGTTTCTGCGGGGGTGGGAGTTTCTAATCAGATCTACTAAGGTCGTTGAGGGTCCTCCCCATCCTCCTCCTGTTTCTCGTCCACCTCCACATCTGACAGCCTCCGCCTGACTGCTCGTCGTCGTCATCCCCCTTCCCCCTCCTCCTCATCAACATCATAATCATGCTCATCATAATCGTGATCATCAGCATCATATCCACCTCTATCAGCATCACAATCACCATCAGCATCCCAATCACCCTGACCACCACCATCATCATCATCATCATCATCATCATCATCATCATCATCATCATCATCATCATCATCATCATCATCATCATCATCCCCATCGTCATCGTCATCGTCATCGTCATCGTCATCGTCATCGTCATCATCGCCGTCGCCACCAGCACCATCGCCATCATCAGCAGCAGAATCCGTACCATCATCGTCGCCATCATCCTCATCATCACCACCATAATTGTTAGTATCGTCGCCATCATCATCGTCAGCAGCATCATCTTCCGTAGCCGCCTTGGGCTCAAAAAAGATGCGATTGCGGGCAACGGCGCGGTTTTCTGAGCTGGCCTTGACCGATGTACGACTCTTAAGTCTGATTTCAAGAACTCTCATACTCTGAGGCCCTCGCGGCCACAGCAATTTCACAACACGTCTTCGCACCCGATCGAGCCAACATTCGGGAGCCCAGGCGCGCGCGCGGGCTAGACCAATGGGCAAGGCAGGGCGAGGCGGCAAGGGGTAAACCAAGATCGGCAAAGCTACCAGCAGCAGCGATTGGTGTTGCCCGAAGTGCGGGGTCAAAAACATGTCCCGAAGCACGTGCCGGGAGTGCGGAGACAATTGGTGGCAAGGGTCGCGGTCGCAGTTCTTGGACAGCTCGTGGCGGAGCGGCATGAGGCATGTCAGCGTTGGACGACACGGACACGCTCGGACTTAATCAGCTACGCTGGCGGGTCAAAAGGCTCGAGTCCGAGAAGGGTATCCTCAAAGGAGCGGGCAAAAGGATAATGACAAGGGCGACGAGCTGGTCGCCGACGGCGGTAAACAGGAGCAGATCCAGCACCTGGGCGAAATGGGCTCGGATATCAAGAACCCGGAGGGGGGTTCTGGAGTCGAGAGCACCCTCGAGGCTAAGCAAGCAGAGGCCAAAGCTCTGCAGGCCCTGATCGTTCAGGATCGGCCGCTCTCAGCACAAATTCGTGAATTCGAACAGCGACAACAAACGTAGCGATCTACGACCGAGGCGCTCGCGAAAGCAGCTCGAGAGCTTGGCAGCAGAGGCCTCGAAGCTCGAGAGCAAGCGGAATGATGTGCAGACCAAGTACGAGTCCTCCCAAGTGCCTGAGAAGGAGGCCCAAAAGCTGCTCGACGACCCATTGGCTGCCCGAGCCCAGGAGGAAGCTCGTCGAGAGGCAACAGGCCACGGTAGCGCCGACGGCGCAGCAGCAGCAGCAACCCCATCAGGCGGGACAGCAGCAGGCGCCCCAGGTGCCGGTCAAGACGCCGCAGCAGCACCAGCCGGACAGCCTGGAGAGTGAGCTCCCTTGTTCACCACCGCCGTCGGTCAGGCCCGAATGACGCTGGCACAGGCTTCCGAGAGTAAGGAGAGCAGCAAATCGCACCCACGCGCACAATGGCAAAGGAGTTTGCGAGGCCCCGTTGCGGAGGAGATGGCAGCGAAACCCCCGCGGTCGCGTTCGACGAGAGCACGTTCGAGGCACTCCACCACGGACGAAGCCGACACCGAGGAAGCCCCAGGGGCAAATGAAGAGGAGAGGCGCAGCCCAGGCGCAGTCGCTGGCGGGCTGTCCGCGGCGCCTGCTGACCCCGCTGCTCGCCGCTTGGCTCAGCGGCGTCGACCGCCCGAAGGCCCGCGCACCATTGCAACAGGCCAGCGCAGAAGGGGAAGCGCCCCCAGGACCTTCACCTTGGCGAGCCTCAACAGCAGCGGACCGGGGCCAGCTACGCACCTCCATCTCGGCGGCACCGCTGGAGGGCAACGCCGACGCGTCCGAGGCACGCCGCGGCGACGCGCACCTGCTGCCGGAGCACAACCGCGGGCCGCGGCGCGCGGCGAAGAGGAAACAGGGGCGACGCCAGGCCGGGCCGCGCGCCGCCCTCACCCCAGGCGCCGCGGCCTCAGCTGCAGCTCAGCACCGCGCAGCCAGCCGCGGCGCAGGCGCGGCAGTCAAGAGGTGGGGGGGCATGAGAGGGCCAGGGCCTGACGGGGCGAAGTCGACGCGCCACTCCTCGGGGAGCCGCCCCTCCCTCGCGCGAGTCGACGGCCCCGCCCCCGGCCGCAGCGTCGTCGGCCCCATCCAGAGTGGAGGCCCATGCCCAGAATCACCCCGCTTGCCTCCAGGGCGCCCTGGGTTTCTTGGGTCTCGACGGTTTTGCCACGGAAAGCGCCACTTCCCCGCGCTAGAAATCAGGGGACTTCCTGGGTTCTCAGGGTTGGGTTTCTTGTGGAAGGCCCCTCTGTGGCCGGGCCTCCGCTGCACCTGGGCAAAGTCGCGCCCGGGGCTGGCAGCGCGAGCGCGCTGCAGGACGTCGGCAAGACGTTGCGTGCGCGAGCCATGGATCCTGGGCGGCGACTGGAACATAGACCCCGATACCTTCCGGACGGTCGCTGGGCGCCGGCCGGGCCGAGACCGCGGCGCGCTCGTCGCCGCGGGCCACGGCGCGCGCCATCGTTCGACGGACAAGGAGGCCCCAGAGCTGGACTAGTCCACGATCGATCGCAGCACGCCGACAGGATCGTCAGCCGCGAGGCCATCGACATAATCAGGCAAGGCACGGCCACCCCATGCAGGCCGCACTCGGGCGCGAAGCTGGCGATGGCAGGCGGCGGCGCTGAACCTAAGTCGCCCCCACTTGGGGGCCACGCCCCCTTCCCAAGGGAGCCCCCGCCCGGGCCATTTCTCGAGGCGCCCAGGGCTACGCCGACAAAGCCGCCAGCATCGGCAACGCGTCGCGCGCGTTCGAGCTGGAGCCCCGCTTCGGCCAGCTCTGCAGCTCAATGGGGGCGGGGCTGCTTCGGGCCTACCAGATGCCGCCCAACTAGGAGCGGCGCTCCCGCGGGGGGCGGGGGAAGGGGGGGAGGCAAGGCGCCCCGTTTCGCGCGGCTCTCGGCGGCGCGGCCAAGGCCCACCGCGTGCCCGAAGGCCAACTCCCTCGAGGGCGCGTCCGACCCCATCCACTTGGACGCGGGCCCCATCCCGGGGCGCGGCCACGCGGGCCGTCTTAAGTGCGGCATGCTGGCGGCGGCCGATGAGCGCGCGCGCGTGTCGCGGGTGCTCGAACCGAGGGTCGCCCTGGCGATCACGTTCGAGACTGCGGCCTCGCCTGCCGCGGCCCCGCGGCACAGGTTGCCTCGATCTTCATTTTCAGAAGCCTCCTCTGGTCGGATCCTCGTTCTGAATAGAGCGATGCTTGCGTGACTACCCCCTCCCGATGCCGTACCGCTGCCTCCTGCCTGCTGTCTTCTCGCGCCATCTCGTGGGGGAAACGAATTGCACAACAGTCGCCTCTGTCGTGCGCTCCTGGGAGATCCAGCGGAGAGACGCGCTACGCACACCAAGATTAGACATCGCGCTCCCTGGGGAAGGGTGCTGCCAATTGCTTAACTGTCTCCACTGTCGCGTGCTCCTGGGAGGTCCGCGGAGCGACTCGCTACGCACGCCCAGACTAGACTTCGCGCTCCCTGGGGGGTGGGGCTACCAACTGCGTATCTGTCTGCTGCGCGCTCCTGGGAGGTCCACCCGAGCGACGCGCTACGCGCACGTGTCAACTGCGTATTTGTCGCCACCAGTGTCCAGAAGAGCTGTCTTGATCCAGGAAGTGGAGGGGCACGCGTGTTTATTTGTCGAAGGAGGCGGAGGAGGAGGAACGAGGAACGAGCAAATAATAGAGACGGAGGAGGGAGATTCATCCAGCTACTTGCGGCAAAGCCCGCCACAGGTCCAGCGCACCAGTGCAGCAGCACAGCAGGAAGGAGGTTTACTGCAAGACCCGCTCAAGTTCAGACAGGGTGCTAAACTGGAGCGGGTCTTGAACACCCCCCTCCTTGTCCGCAGCCGTCAAGCCAAAGTTCGAGATCAGCCCGGGCAGACCCAGGAGTCAACCATAAAGGCCTTCTCAGATCTTTCGATCTGGGATCCTCGTGGCAGCTTACTTGGGCAACATTGGATCCATCTTGGGGTCATGTTGGGGACCTTGGGGGAACTCTCGGGGCACTCTTGGAGGTCTTTGGGGCCCCTCTCTTGGGGGCATTTCTGGCAATACTGGAGGACATCGATCAGAGAAGGGGTATCCCTTACCAGCCTTGCCCCTCCCGGAGCACGAAAGCTCGCTTCGTGGGGCCTTCTTGGGACACTCTTCTAGCGCTTTAAGGGCCGTCTTGAAACCTAGCTCATCGGAAGCGAAAACGAGAGAACGCAAACATCACGTGTTTCCTCTGGGCGTTGGAAGGATGTTGGCCTTTTTGAGGCAGTCCTGGAAGGCTCCGTAGGCACTCGGAGCCTCCTTGGGGCGGGCGCGGAACCTCACAGAGGCATCTTGGAGGACATCTTGAAACTTGGACCATGTTGCGCCATTTTGGATGCCATGTTGAGCGATCTGGAGCCGTGAAGCCAGGTTACATGAATGACCGGTCGGAGCATGAGGGGGTGCACGCACAACGCTTTAATATCTCCGCCTTGGCATCGTTGCCGCTACTTCGCGCTCTGTTTGCACTTGGTTCGTGATGCGAACGGCACGCGCACCAGCTACAGGGCCAACACCGAAGCAGGTGGATGTGTGCGAGGAGAACACATGAGTTATCTGGAGCCATCTTGGAGCCATGTTGGACCAGAAGCCTCCAGGGATGCCCCAAGGATGCCAACAATATATGCATAAGAAACAATATAGTTCAGTAGCTCTGGCTTGGAGCGACGGGGGGTGGAGCCTATCAGCCCCGCCCTTCTGGAGCCCTAAAACTCTTCTCTCGGGGTCCTCCTGGGATGCCCTTGGAGCCCTATTGAGGCACCTCGGGGCTCTCTTGGGCCATCTTGGCGCCATGCGAGGGACTCAGAAGACAGGTGGAAGCGAAAAAAGGCGAGTGGACGCGACGTGGCCGCTCGTCTTCGTCCCTGGGCCGTCTCTGGGCCTCTCGGCTGTCTTGACGCCCTCCTCGGAACACTTCGGGCCGTCGTGGGGCGATGTTGTCTGTCTTGGGGCAGCCTTCAATTGTGTCGGAGCTCTCCAGGGGCCAGACATGGCGCCGAAAACCAGAACCAAGGGGGAGAGGGTTCGGACTCCGCGCACTACGAGGGGGGTGGGCCGGCTCTAGAAACGCTGAAGAGATGCTCCTACACAACGGAAGAGCAATCTAGCGTGACCCAACGTGCCACCAGCCCAGAGACGGACTGTGCGGTATTGGGCGGTCTTGGGTTGGTTACGTCCCTGGGTAATGTATCTTATTTTCGCTCGAATTCGGGTGGCCAACGAGTTTTCGGAGCAGAGCTCGATTTTGTCCAGTGTAGTCTCGTAGCCCTTACGGGATCAGGGATTTTTGGGAACCTACCCTCACTGCGCTCGGGGGGTAGGCGCCGGGGTGCGCGGGCGTTGGGACGTTTGGCTTTCTCTTCCAGCCTTCTACAGTGCAGCATCGTCCGCTTCGCGCTTCGATGGCAGCTTCGATGGCGCCGCGACGGCGGTAGGCTTTCAGCCAGGCCTCCACGACGCCTCCAGGGCCCGGCGCAGCAGGGGGGGGGCAGCGCAGGATGGCAGCGGGGTCCGCCGGCAGAGAGCCGGCGGCCCGGCAGGTACCCGAGAGGCATTCGAGGAGCGTCCGAGAGAACGAAGCCCGCGATCTGGCCCTGTACACTCATCTTGCTCCTCCTCCTCCTCCTCCTCCCCCTCCTCCTCCTCCTCCTCCTCCTCCTCCTCCTCCTCCTCCTCCTCCCCTCCTCCTCCTCCTCCTCCTCCTCCTCCTCCTCCCCCTCCCCCTCCTCCTCCTCCTCCTCCTCCTCCTCCCCCTCCCCCTCCTCCTCCCCTTCCCCGTCCCCCTCCTCAACATCCCGTCCCTCCCGCTCTACCTCTTGATCACTTTCCTCGGCCCTGCGGCCCGTGTACGGGCGTGGGCCTGGGCGGCTGCCAGCCTGGGCGGCGCGGGCGCTGGCAGGCCGAGGCGGTGGCGCTGGCGGGGCGGGTGCGCGCGTGCGAGGAAAACACCGAAGCCCGCCTGGGAGACCCGGCTCTCGGCGCCTACCCCACCCGTCCCCGCAGCCCTGTGGGGGGGCCAGGGGCAACGACAGGGGGGATGGGCACTGGGGGGACAGGCATAGGGGGGGATGCACCGACCCCCAATCGCCCATTGAGCGCCGACAGGGGCCCCACAGGCCGCACCCCGCCCGGGAAGGTGCGGATTCACTATCGGTGTCCTATCGCCGATCGATCGGCGATGTATCGCCGATGCCAGGTCAATGTGTCGCTCCCTATGCCCGTTCCCCTATCGCTGCCCCTCAGGGACGGGGCCTGGTGGGGCACGCTTTTCAATCTCTCCTCGGGACGATGGACGCCCACCCCGCTCAACCTGAACTTCGATCGTTTTTTTCGCCAGGCCAAGGCGACGTCCGCCTCAGTGACAGCGGGCGTTGCGCCTGAAAGAGGGGGGGGTCGGCCGGCGGAAGGGGCGGAAGCAGAAGTGAGGCGTCGGCATCTCTCGATTCAGAACTTGCAGAGCACTTCGGCGATGTCTTGGGTTGTAGCCCCGATTGTTTCCACGAGCAGATCTGAATCCCCGATAGGGGTTCGGCAGGTGCTCGTCGCATGCTTATGTCTACATGATCGGCGGCCTGGAGTTTTACTCGACGGCAAAGTTCGCTCCAGAATCAAGCGCTCGTGGCCACGGACTTTATTGGTGGCTTTATTGAATCGCTTCGCTCATTCCGCCGGCCCATTTCGCATGACTGAGCCGCGCATATCCGCCGCCGCGCTTGTAGAAGACGCGTAGCTGGGCAGCAGCGGGGCGAGAGTGGCAAGATGGCCCGAGAGACCTCTACAGACTTTCGAGATTAGCCGGGGCTGTCCAGGAGGGCCGAAAAGTTTCGAAGAAGATCCTGCCACCGTGCCTTGGTAGAAGGTTAGAGTCCTCCTGGGTACGCTCGGGGTCGCTTCGGAGAGCTCTAGGTAGTTTCTTACGATGAAGCGTTGATGATTATTTTTGGGGCCTCTTCGGAGCCTTGCCGGATTTAGGGGACTTTTGGGGGTTGTGGTGGGCTCTTAAACGCGTCGGGTCGTTGGCATTTGCTTGCGTGCTGGAGGGGGCATTTGGGGAGCCTCTTGGGGCCGCTGGGGGGCCTCTTCAGCGTCGCTTGGGGGCCTCCTGAGGGCCTCTTGGGGGCTTTGGGGGCCTCTCAGGGGCCTCCTGGGGGCTTCTTAAGGCCGAGGGCTCGAAGTTTTGTTTTTGTGTTCCCCCTTTGGGGCATCGCTTGGGGCCCTCTTGGGCCCCTCTTGGGCCGTCTTGGATGCCTCTGGGGCCGTCTTGGAGCCCTCTTGGGCCATCTTGGGGCCTTCTTGGGAGCTTCTTGGGCCCTCTTGGGGCGATCTTGGGGGCCTCTTGGGCCGTCTTGGGGCGTCGGGAAGCCGAAAAGATGGACACGCCAAAATCTGCCCAAAACCTAAGGACAAGTAATGAATTGTGCCTCTTGGGGCCCTCTGGGGAGTGCTCTTGGAGGCCTCTTGGGGCGTCTGGGGGCCATTCGGAGCACTCTTGAACCATCTTGGAGGGCTCTTGGCGGCCTCGTGGCCCTTCTTGGGGCTCTCTGGAGGGCCACGGGGGGCGGCGCCCAGGAGGAAAACCATCTCTGATCCGAGTCTGCCGGGGATCGCCCGGGGTACTTTTCGTCCGGGGACCCCCAGGGGCCGCCCCGCGCGCGCGAAGTAGAAGTATCATTTAGCAGTTACCGGAGATCTTAGCACGCCTCTGGCCCGTTGGGCCGGCGAATTTGTTCTCTCTGTCTCTCTTTTGTTTTTTTCTCTCTCTCTCTCTCTCTCTGAGTTCTTCAGCGCCACAAATTCCGCTTCAGCCCAGTAATCATCCTCATGTGATTATTACAAGCCTCGCCATCACGTCATACCCTTCTTGTGATTGGAATACACTAAAGTATCCCGCAGTTCCTCCTCAGCATCCTCCCTTTGAGCCCACTGTCTTCCGCCATGCCTCTTCCTCTGCCCTCCTCCATCGCATGGCCGTTTTTGAAGCGGTGGACAACGCGTGCACCACGTATTCTGAACGCTCATCATGGGACGTCCGTGGAGATGTGTGTCGGCGTCTGTCTCGCCCGCATTGTCCCGTCATGTCTGGTTCTGTCTTCCTCCTCCTCATCGTCATCATCGTCATCGCCATCGTCATCAGTATGATTGTTATGATCTTCCTCCTCCTCCTCTTTCTCCTCCTCCTCCTCCTCCTCCTCCGCCTCCGACTCCTCCTTCTCCTTCTCCTTCTGCTGGCCAAGCCAAGGTTCTGCCAAGCCAAGGAAGTTGCTCAAGAGGATGGACGTCCTTCTCAACGGGCCCCTGAAGTACGTGTGAGGCTTCACGCTTGCGACGAGCCAGTGCCCGGCCAACGCTGGTCGTGGAGGAGGAAGAGGAGGAGGAGGAGGAGGAGGAGGAGGAGAAGGAGGAGCAAAAGGAGGAGCAGGAGGAGGAGCAGGAGGAGAAGGAGGAGCAGGCAGAGGAGAAACAGAGGTAGGGAGGTCACTGGGGCAATGGGAAGGAGAGGGGAAATTGAAGTGGATCAGGAGGGCGACGCGACGACGACGACGATGTTGACGAGGAGGAGAAGGGGGAGGACGAAGAGGGGGGATGATGATGATGATGATGATGATGATGATGATGATGATGATGATGATGATGATGATGATGATGATGATGATGATGATGATGATGATGATGATGATGATGATGATGATGATGATGCTGATGCTGATGCTGATGCTGATGCTGATGCTGATGCTGATGCTGATGCTGATGCTGGTGCTGATGCTGGTGCTGGTGCTGATGATGATGATGATGATGATGATGATGATGATGATGATGATGATGATGATGATGATGATGATGATGATGGTGGTGGTGGTGGTGGTGATGGTGGTGATGACGGTGGTGATGATGATGACGACGAGGATGGTGATGATGATGATGTTGATGATGGTGATGGTGGTGGTAATGATGATGACGATGATGATGATGGTGATGGTGATGTGGTTCAGTTCGCCGACGACTTGAAGAAGTGGCACGTGGTATTGACTTGCCTGGCTTCGGATGCTCATGCGATCAGCATCGACAGCCAGACCATCTTGATCAACGAGCTCAAGAAGGTGGGATTCAGGCATAACTTGAACAAGCGCGAGTTGGCCACCGAGATCAAGCTGACTGAGAACCTCAAGCTTAAAGCTCAGTTGGCGAATGGTTCTGGCCGTATTATACCACATGCTCGGCGTCTTGGTGGGCGGTACGTGTGGAACGACAATGCGAATTTGGAGGTCGGCTATCGCATCGACGAGCTGAAGAAGGGCTGGCTTAGCATGGGCAGATTATGGTTTGCGAAGGGACCCCACAAGTTGCGACGGCAGCTCTTTCTTGGCAAAGTGGTGGGGGCTGCTCTCCCGGGCATGTGTTGCCAGTTTCTCTCGGAGTCGGAGCTTCGACGTGCAGATCTGCACAAAATTGAGGGTCCTCGAAGGCGGGGCGCAGGTGGCACACGACACGCACGCAAAGGTTCTCACCAACAAGGAGCTGATGAAGCGTTGGGGAGTGGTCCCTGCACGAGCGGCTCTGGCGATGCAACGGGTGCGTTGGCTACAAGACATGGTACGACATCCTCTAGCTCATCAGCAGGTGATTGCTGCGCTGTGGGGCCATCTGGAGGACGCCTCGTCCCCCACCGACGTGGAAGGGAAGATGACGGTGTCCACGAGCCCGTACGCCAGGCAGTTCACGCGAGACCCCATGTTGCTGGAGGCCATCAGCGGCACCGAGGATTTCTTCGAAGAGTGGGTGGTCGTCGGTCGCGCGTGGCAGGAGTGGTGGAGCTGCGAGGATGTGTCCAAGGCCTTTTTAAAGGTGGACGCGAAGCTACTCGAGGTGCCGCTGATGAGGGAGGATCGGCTGTGGGAGAAGCTGGCGCCCAAGGCTCGCGAGACGGAGGAGGCCCAGGGCGAGTACGTGTGTGACTTGCTAGACGTGCAGGGCGCCGTTTGCGGCCTGTGCTTTGACTCGCTGAAGAAGCTGGTGACGCATATGACGAAGGCTCGCGGTGGGGGTCATGGCGTCATATGCCCGCTTAGGTGCAATGTGCTCGCGAATCAGTGCGTGAACTGTGGGAGCGCGTTTGCCCCAGAAGACAATGCGAAACAACATGTTCAAGCTTCGTGGGGTCTTGGGCGCTGCCGGCCTCAGGGGGGCCATCAAGCATGGGAGCTGAACGTCCAGTTTGAGATTGTCTGTAACATTTGCGGGCTCGGGTTTGCTAACCTTCCATAGTACTACGCACACGCTCGTGGAGAACACTTGCCTCGCCCTGCCCGCGCAATGTGGAGCGCCATGCCCGCCACCCTCAAGGCGGCAGAAGGAGCAGCTGGAGAATGGGACGCAGGCCGCCGCGTCAAGCCCCGCAGCGAGGACGAGGGGGGCAGCAAGGACAAGTGGCTCAAGGGCAACAGCGACAAAAGGCTTCGTCGGTCCCTTCCCCTGGTGGTCAAGCAGATCCTGAGGTGTGCGCAGGGGCTGTCCGAGCTCGGCAAGTGTGCCTATTCGAACCTTCTCTCTGCCCTGCCGACGGCCTGGAGGCGACGAAGATCCCGGAGCAGACTCACAACGACTCGACGGCGGTGAAGAAGGACGGGCAAAGACACCCCCACAGAATGCCGTGCATTTGGGCGCTCGCGGGACTGATCGAGGCGCTGAAGGAGAGGGGCAGCGAGGTGGGAGGCACGAGCGCGAAGCACATCGTGGAGATATGGGAGCGGCTCGACACACACCGTGGAGGACAATATGAAGATGATCAGAATGCGCCGTCTGGACAAAACGCACGACAAAGGAAAAAAGAGGATCACATTCGTGCTGCGCGAGGAGCGGTGGCACCAGGTGGTGATCCAGAGCTGCGTTAAGGTGGGGATGAGCCGCAAGCAGGGCAAGGCTCCAGCATCGTTCATGGAGCGCGAGCTGCAGGAGTACGTGGGCCAGCTGCTGCAGTGAAGCCTGAGCGAGTACGTGAGCCAGCTGCAGCACCCGAGCGAGTACGTGAGCCAGCCGCTGCAGTATCTGAGCTGGTACATGAGCCTGCCGCTGCTGGCGCTTCTGCTGCAGCTTGGCCTGTCGGCAGCCCCGCCGTGAAGCTGAGTGTTTCGCCTGAGAATAGTAGCCTCTCCTTTTCCTCCGCTCGGACTTCGGGGGGCCCTGGGACTCTTCCTGACCAGAGTCGAGACGCGTCTCGCCGTGGCTCCGTAGGCCCCTCCTCTTCCTCCACTTCGAATGCGACGGGGACCCAGGGCACTTCGGCGCAACCTGCCAATGCAGGGACCTTCCACTCCCGGCGCTCTTTTGGCGTCTCTTGGGATCGAGCGGGGGAGCACCCGCCGGAACACCCGTATTGAAAGTGACAGGTCGCGCTCGATGTTGACACGCACGAGGCAATGTGTTCCTTTTCTCCAGCCGGCCGTAACTCTCGAGACGGTCCGCGGGGCCAGCCGCGGGGCCACTGTTGGCCATGGGTTCGGCCCCCTCGCCCTGCGTCGTCGTTGGTCGTCCCGGTCGAAGGCACCGCGCGCCGCCTCTCGTTTGCGAGTAAGTGCACACCTGAGTGTCCGAATCACGATTCCTCAACGTAAGGTTCCCAGCAGCCACCACAAAGACAAGCTACAAATATATCCAGGGACCAACTGCGCATAAAGAAACCTGGTGGTGCTGAAGATGCTGATGGTGATGGCGGTGGCGATGATGATGGTGACGCTGATGGTGGTGGTGATGATGATGATGCTGATGATGATGATGATGATGACGCTGATGCTTTTGCCGATGGCGATGATGAGCATAGGGGGGCAGCAGCAGGAGCCAGGGGCGAGGAGGAGGAGGGGGATGAGGGGTGAGAAGGGGGGGGAGGGGCGAGGGTGGCCAGGATTTCTGGTTGCGTCTGGCCCCGAGTTTCTCTCGGCGCCTCTTCTCTGTTACCGTTTGTGCCCACGCTATCGTTTCCAACCCTCCTTGCTTGGGTATTCGTTTTGAACAGAGCCCGCCTCCTCCCGCCTCCCGTGTCTCTCTTCCCCTCTCGCCTCGTGCGCATTTCTTGGGTATGCATGTCGTCTGCGGCATTTGTCTCCGACCTCGCCGACTCTGGGGGGCTGCGATTTGCGAAATTGTCGCCACTTTCGGTGGCTGCTGGTAGGTCCAGCGGAGTGAGGCAAGGCGCGGACCTGAGCGGGACCTCCCCGTCTTTGGGCGGCTGCGATATGCGAAACTGTCGCCAGTTTCGAGGGCTGTTGGTGGGTCCAGCGGAGTAAGGCACCGCGCGGACCTGAGCGGGACCTCCCCGTGCTTGGGGGGTGCAATTTTCGAAGTTGCCGCCATTTTCGAGGGTTGCTGGTGGGTCCAGCGGAGTGAGGCACCGCGCGGACTTGAGCGGGACCTCCCCGTCCTTGGGCGGCTGCGATCTGCGAAATCGTCGGCATGTTCGAGGGGTGCTGGTGGGTCCAGCGGAGTGAGGCACCGCGCGGACCTAAGCGGGACCTCCCCGTTTTTGGGGGGTTGCGATGTGTGAAAGTGTCCGCATTTTCGAGGGCTGCTGGTGGGTCCAGCGGAGGGAGGCACCGCGCGGACTTGAGAGGGACCTTCCCGTCCCTGGGGGGCTGCGATTTGCGAAATTGTCGCCATTTTCGAGGGTTGCTGGTGGGTCCACCGGAGCGACGCACCGCGCGGACCTGAGCGGTGCCTCCCCGTCCTTGGGGGGGGTGCGATGTGTGAAATTGTCGCCATGTTCGAGGGTTGCTGGTGGGTCCTGCGGAGTGAGGCACCGCGCGGACCTGAGCGGGACCTCCCCGTCTTCGGGGGGCTGCGATCTGCGAAATTGTCGCCAGTTTCGAGGGCTGCTGGTGGGTCCTGCGGAGTGAGGCACCGCGCGGACTTGAGCGGGACCTCCCCGTCTTTGGGGGGCTGCGATCTGCATAATTGACGTCGTTCTCGAGGGCTACTGGTGGGCTCGCCACTTTCGAAGGCTGCTGGTGGGCCTAGCGGAGTGAGGCACTGCGCAGACTTGAGCGGGGCCTCGCCGTCCTTGGGGGGCCATGTCATGTTGTTGCTGCCCCGCCGACGTTTCAAGCCCCTTGCCCACCGTCTCCTTTTGGACCTTGCGTCTTCCTTAGGGACTCAGGGGTTCACTTAGTTACCCATCGTGTTTCCCTTGATTGGGGGCCTGCAAACCTTCCGAATGCCGCTCGCAGAAATATATGCGTTCATGTCACGTCGCCGCCTTCTCGTCAAATTTCCCAAGCTACTCCTGCCCCACATTGCGCAGGGGCTGGGTACGTCGCCAGGGTAATGTCCTCGCCCTCTCCCTCGTCCCCTGATTCTCCCTCAAAGGGCAGAGGAGAAGGACGAGAAGGAGGGTAAGAAGCAAAAGGAGGAGCGAGGAGGAGGAGGAGGAGGAGGAGGATGGGATGGGATGGGATGGGATGGAGGGGCGGAGTAGGAGAAAGAGGGACAGGAGGGAGTATGAGACGGAGGACGCTTCAGGAGGAGGGAACAAGAGGAAGGAGCATCAAGAAGGAGTGGAGGGACCCTTCGCCTATACGTTCCCATTATGTCCTCATATCCTCGAGGACGCCACGTCGCAGTCTGGCCCGAGAGGGGCTGCACTCATTGCGAGTTCGAAGGAATCGGCGTGCGAGGAGGAGGAGGAGGAGGAGGAGGAGGAGGAGAAGGAGGAGGGGGAGGGGGAGGGGGAGAAGGAGGAGGAGGAGGAGGAGGAGCAGGAGCGTCCCCAAGGCTTCCCAGAGATCTAAGGATGACCAGGGGGCCCAGAGGGGAGAGGGCAAGAAATGCACGGAGGGGAGTGGGTGAGCAGTTGAGGAGGGGAGGAAAGGAGGGGAAGGGGGACCGCTTGCGCCTTTGCTTCTTGAGTCCCGCCTCGCTCGCTCTGCTCCGCCCGTTGCCCCCTATCCCGCCCGTCTTGCCTCTTGTGCCCCTAATGTTGACCTCCTACGTCGCTGAGAGCGCTTAGGACGTACATTTACTTGCACCGTGTTCTCGTCGCCCGGGGTTTGGAGCTCGTCGAGCCAACCAGGGCTTCCAGGAGCAGGATTGGGGGGGAGGAGGAAGCGAGGCAGACGCTGCCTTGGCATCGGCGGCACTGTGCGCAGGTTCGCAGGGGTAGGGGCCGTAGGGGAGGGAGAGAGGGATCGCCTGCGCCGCACACGCACACCAGTGCTGCCGCGCCAGGAGGGCGGGCGCTGATGCTCCGAGGATCAGAGAAGAGCGACTCGAGACAAAGTCGGTTGGCCTTCGGGGGGAGGCCCTCGTCGCCACGGTCGGACGCAGCTCGGAAAGTGTGATACGGCTGAACCCCAGGAGGAGTCCGGGACCAATTTTGAATTGCCATTGTCTCAACTCGCCCTGCTCCGAGAGCAAGGATGAAGCCCCGCCAGATTCGGCATAGCCCTCGCACGCTTCGTGCCGCATAGGCAGTTCCACCAGTGGCCCCCCGCCCACGCAGGTCGACCCCTCGCACGCTTCGTGCCACAGGAGCCCCACCTGTGGCCTCAGATGGGGATCTAGCATGCCGCCCTCCGCCCATTTCGGCGCACCCCTCACGCGTTTCGTAATCGATTGGGAGTTCCAACTATGGCCCCCCGCCCACACGGGCCCATCCCTCACGCTTCGTGCCGTAGGGAGCTTCACCTATGGCCCCAGATGAGGATCTAGCACGGCACCCTCCCAATGTCGGCACACCCCTCACCCGCGTCGTGCCCCATAGGGAGCTCAGAGCGTTTCTTGCGCGCCCGTTTCGGAGCCGCCTGTCTCGAATTTTGGCCCTCCCGCGGCGCGCTGTACATGAGGCGAGGTCCACGCTTTGCGCTAGACCCAGCTGCATGGGGCTGGGCCCATCGCACGGTTGCGTCATTAACAAGGGGGGCAACGTTCTGGAAGCGCGGGTTATTCTACAAGGAGCGCGGATCTATCGCGCGATGGGATGCGCGAAGCGGTCGTCGTTTGGATGAGCGAGCAAAAGGCGACACGGACCCCGACTGGCCGAGCCCCTCGAGCGCCCCCGGGCAGCACAAGAGGGGCCCCTAGCGCCCCAAGATGGCCCCAAAAAACCCCGAAGGCAACACGAGGGGCCCCAAAGGTCGCCACGACGCCCCTCGACCGCCAGTCATCTGCAGCGTCTAAGCGAACAGAAAACAGCTCAGGCTGCCCCGCTGTTCGGGGCAATCAGCTCAGCAGCGGCACTTCCGGATATGTTTTGAAAAAGGGCGATCGCATCCTGAGTTGCGGGGCGTTGATCTCTTTGTTCTTTACGGGGCTCATAGCCCGGTTTCTGTTTTCCCGACCATCCTGTAGTGTTGGGCCTTCGCTTTGGATCAGCAGCGCCCCGCGTCTCCTCCTCCTTCTCCTCCTCCTCTCCTCTCCTGCTCCCTTCTCCCATGCCTGCCTCGGTTCTCCGCATGTCTCTGCTTCGGCACACCCCTCGCGTGTTTCGTGGTTCCACAGGGAGTTCCACCAAAGGCGATCGTGGCAGGGTTCGCATACGTTCCTCCCGCCAATGTCGGCCCACTTCTCACGCACATCGTGGCCCCACAGAGTGCCCCCTCAAGGCCACAGTTGCAGGGTTCGCGTGCGTCCCCCCGCCGATTTCGGCACAC